TGCTGAGCTACTTCATATTGGCTAGCTTTGCATGTCACCTCTGATGTTTCTGTTGGCTGACAAAAATGGCTGGTATTTTCTATTTATCAGTTCTTTTGACTGTCTCTGCAAAGCACTAAAGCTAACAGCCTGCAGGTGGAAGACTTCAAATATTAAAAGGAAAAGATGGCTGATTACATTGAAAGCAGGCAAGCCTCCAATCACACTACTGAAATGTTTTTAAATCAATTGTGGTATCTAATTTATTTGACTTGTTTGATTTTGAGAAATATTTTTATAACTTTGAGAAGACTGATATGTGGATCACTTTTTTAATGTGAGCACAAATGTGTTAGATACTTTTTTATCTTGACAGTACTATGAAGCAAAAAATACACGATACAATCTTGTTGGGTTTTAGATTCAGCATGAAAAAAGCTACCTGGCTTTTGGAGAAAGCTCTGAGAAGTCTGCGGCTTACATTTCCCACTTGGTTGCTCTAGAAACGATACAAACCTGGTAACAGGAAAAATAATATCCTGACTGAAACTCAGACTATAGGTTTATTTATACTGTCTTACGACCATGTAAAAAATCTAAGAGAAAGCTTAACGAAGCCCTTAAAATTGTCAGCTTTCATCCTTTACCATTTGCAAATTAAAAATGTAATTTAGTGACAGAGATTCAGAATCTCCTTAAAACTGCATGCTGCAGATGTTCTCTCATGGAAAAATATCTTTCCAGTAAAATACCTGATGTGCCAAAATACTGTAATTTTTTTCTGTGCCTTCCCCCTTAAGAAAATAAAATCAATGACCCCTTCACCATCTGCCCTGAAGAGAAGCAAATTGATAGAGGTTTTCAAGGCAGTACCTGGAATGCCCTTCTTCCCACCAGTAGTGTTTTGAATTCTGTATATTGTATTTCTACTTAATTCTTTGATGCAGACAGTTTAATATTTTTTCTCAAACTCACTATTTTTTATAAAACATACTTTAATTTTTCTCATCTGTTCAAACAACAGTATCCCTTCATAGTCCACAGCATCAAGTAGGAATAGTTTGCGTCACGGTTTCTTGTTTTTCTTGCGTGTTTTATTTTAAGAGATTTGTTCAGATGAGCAAGGACTGCCCTGAAAGGTGGTAACAGAGTTTAAAATAAGCTGTATATAATTAAAATGGTAAATTGGACAATTTTATGGAATGTTGTTTCTTGAGAATATTTTAAGCCCTCAGTCTTGTCACATCTGAGCACCTAGAAAGACCATAGAAGATTTTTATGAGACTTGTAAGAGTGTAATATGGCTATGTTGGGAAAGCAGATGGTGCAAGTACAGTGTGGGTGGACTTCTGGATAATATCCATCTAAAGTATATAGTCTCAGGTGTCACAAAACTCTAGAGAAAATACAGTGTAGTTTTGCAATGATGCTGATATGTATCTCTGGGCTTGCCAGGTAGGGGGTAAATTTACACCTTGCTCCTGCCGAGGCTGTGATGTAGTCAAGGAAGGGTTGCATGAACCAGAGGTGCAGCAAGCATATGGACTGTCCGAGCATACGAGCTCCAGGATGGGAGGACGCACTCTTGTCCTGCAATTTAATATGTGATGGACATCTCGTTTAGTCTCCCCTCAGTGGAGCTGAAAGGTGTGAGGCAGGTTAATGCAAATATTACGAAGAAAATATGGGTTTCTTACAAATGTTACATCAACATCCCACTTCATTCTCTCTCTTTGAAATAACTTTGTCTGTCCATTTCAGTCTTTTTTGAACATGTTTGCTCACATTGATGCCAAAGAAAGCTTCTTTTTCAAATACAGTTTAAAAGCAGCAAAGCATTTATTTCATTATGTATTTATGGAGTACATCCGTGGCTTGATTTACATGAGATTTTTGTTGTAAAGATTTCTCTTGTATACGTCTACTTGTCTACTCCAGTCTGGTAGCTGAAACTGCTGTATAACGTAGGTAAAAGAACAGTTTTGAATTTGTAACTCCAGCTAGCCAAACAAATGTCCGTGTGGCTGTAGAGATCCATGTAGGTTATAAAAATCAAGTTAGAAGCTGAGTTATAAAAATCAAATTAGAGAAAAAGAGCCCATGCTGAGTTCAGGTCTCACTATGGGCAAAGAAAGAAGTGCCTGTAGTTGAGCTAACTAGTTTAAGATTAACTTGGCTTTATCTACATGCTGTATTACAGTTGCAGCAGTGAACACAACAGATGTGGTTGCATGTTCCCAGGAAAGGTGTGCTAGGAATACTTGAAAATAACCAAATTTTAAACCTTTATGTTTAGTTTTGTACTTTTCTGTATAAATTGACTTTCTGTGTTGGACTACTAATATTTTCATATCAATTGAGTGAAAAGCCATATGTACCAGTAACATAATTTATACTGCTTCACAAAGCTAATATTAAATTTGAAAGCAGAATCCTGACAACACTTGAGAGGGTCGCAAAGTTTATTTTAGAGAAAGGTAATTACTTTTATGCAGATTATTTTATTAGCAGAAATCTCTCCCAGTTCAATTTTGAATTAGCAAAATGATATTAGCTCCTTATTGCCTGTTCATCAGACTGAGATATTCACACTTATCTTAAAAGGAATACTTCTAACTATGTAATATCCACAGCTACATAAATTTTTATGAGAAGGCTGCCATTTTTGCTTAATTTTAGGATAAACACTTCAGATCTCATTCGGTGCCTATGTTGTCTTCTGTCATCTAGAAAGCTACTGGAACACCCCTTACATCCAATTTACCTACCTGGTTAGCACAGTCATCTGAGCTGGTCACTGACTGTTGCTTGGCGCTCTTCCTCCTCTCTGCTTCAGATAAGAAAGTTCATGAAAGTTTTAATTTCTCATGAGGAGATGGCTTTTTTGTTAATAACCAGATGTTTCAAAATTCAACAAAAGGTTCCTTTTTGACTGTGGCAGAGCTTTGGGCTCCTTTAGTCTTCCTTTCATATTGTGACACAGAGCATAAAGATAGATTTATCCATCTATGTCTTAGCTTGGGATTCTTGTTTTTTACGTCCTTTATGTTTTTAAACCTTTCTAGTCAGGGCAAAACCTTTTTGGCAGAGAGACTCTTTCACGTGTTCCAGCCGACAAGGAACAGTTTCATTAGGAGGTGAGGCAGTTCCATTGCCTTCTTTGCATAATTTAAGAGATGACATTTCTGAACATTGATTAGTTCTGGCATTTGTTATACTATTGTTCCCTATGATAAATTTCAGTGTTTAGGCACATATCAATACCTTCAATGTATTCCACCCTTTTTTTTTTTTTTTTTTTTTTTGGTATTTTAAGGTGGAGATAATATTTCCAGCTTTCAGTGAAGCCTTAAATACTTGTTTAATTGCTCAAGACATATTTTAGTATAATATCTTTTCTGATACTGTTAATGTTATTGTGATTAGCTGAAGTTCAAATTCCATTAAGAACAACTGCAAGTTCACATCTCAAGCAGTGTTTTAACCCCTCTAGAGATCAGTATATAAATTTATACTGTAAACATGATCTTGATGGCCAAAAGCTGTACAACCTTATCCTTTTTTTCCATTGTCTTCAGAGAGTACAAAAAATGGTACAGAATGAGACCGTTGTGTGGATAATTGTCCTGTTTAAATAACACATGCATGAACGACAGTAATACTAATGGACCACATCAGTAGGCATTAAGGGGCAAAGAGTGCCAATGTTTTACTACTAGGATCAATGTCTTATTCTGCCTGACCATTGCCTATCTGGGAGGATCAAGGTGGTGGGGAAGGAAGGGTGGTTTACTTCTATTTGTTGTATTCTGAACCAGTTGGAAAATGCAGGAAATAAAAACTTTAGAGACAACTTTGAGGGGTTATGTTTCCTGGTTCCCAGAGGCTGAGCTCCATTTGGTGCATGTTTCTGCTGGGAAATGGTCACTAGTATGAGAAAAAGAAAGGACAAAAGGAAAAAAAATCTGAATATGACTATTTTTAGGCAATTTCCTATCCAGATTGATGTAATATTTTGTCTAGTTTTCTCAGGAACTAAAAATAATCTCACTATGACGTGTTTCTCCCCCAGCAAAGTCTTTCTTTCTGAACTGTTCCAAGCCCAAGGACAGATACCTAAAACTAAGGCAATAAACCAGGTTCTCATTTAAAAAAATAGACACGTAATATCACAGTTGGGCAAGAATGTCTGATATAGGTGTGTCCAGATGTGCTGCTGTCAATTGTAGGCTGTTAAATCACACCTGATACCAAAAGATCCCACATACATCTCCCCAAAGTCACTAAATTAGTGAGAATCATCTCAGTATCTGACCACGCACTCAGACAAGTGCCCCTCTCTGAGGCACACTGATGAGTGGTGATCATTTACCCATGCACAGTATTCTCTGAATTTCTGCCAGTATATTTTATAGAAATGTTTAGTATTTGCCATCAATTACTGTATTTCTGTCTTGCTTAGAATGGAAATGTAGATGCAATCTTAATTTTGCCTATGGATTGTCGAAGACAAACGATGAAAATTATGTTCTAGCTTGCAAATAAATAAAAAATGACAAGAGTCTGATGCCACTGAGGGTGTGAACATTTTCAGACAAGCCTGCATAAAGGGATCCATAAACCCACAGTTAGTTATGGGCTGCGAAATGTTGAGCTGTCACAGCTACACTGGTTGGGGTAAGAGCTGCCAGTGCACAATCACTCCAAACATCTGCCCAGCTGGGTTAAGTGCCTGCACGTACGTCTCCTTCCCTGAGTCAGGGCCCGTGAAACAGATTGTTTTTACCCCTGCAGTCTGCCTGTCGTCAGAAGCTTAACTCTCGGCGTATTCGATGCAGTGAATCTTTTCCACAGTGGAAAGAGAGAGGGGAAAAGAGGTTACTTTAGAAAAGCAGTCACAAAAAAAAAAAAAATCCATTTAGAGAGAATGTTCATCTAATGCTCTTTATAAAGAATGCCAAGAGTTTTACTGAATTTTGGACTGTTGTTTGAGGGAGGATAACATACACTTTCATTTGCAGTTCTCCAATGGCAAGTAAGATACGACAGAAGAATTTCACCAGATTTCCAAAAGGTAATGTTAAACAGTTGGCAGAAATTTATTTGTTTATCTCAAAACCATTATATTCCTAAGATTAATGAATTAAAGGAGAGAACTAGAAAAAAAGGACTGCTGCCTCAGAAATTTGATCTCTGGGCAAAATGAAATGGAAGTTTGCATAGATTTTTTTTTTTTTTTTTATTCTAGTTCTTCAATTTTCTTCTTCATTGTGATATGCTAGGTTACTCGCCCTTTCACTTGGAAACTGAATTTTGTTGCAGATTATACCCTTATTTATGTGACAGGCATAGTGTTCTTAAAAACTCGCAGCCCTCCGCTCCTTTGAACAAACTGTGAGAAACAGTTTGATAACAAACTATTGAAAATTTGAAGTTTTTCACAGAAAAATAAAATACCATGTATTTATTAAATATCCCACAAAACAGCATGAGAAATTTGTGGGGTTCCTTTATTTAAAGATTACTGCATTAAACATTACCATATGAAGGTATTTGTGGTTTTGTTTTGTTTTTCCATAATAGTAAATAGGGTAATTAAAAAAAATTCCTAAAAGAAAAAAAGCATGGGAAGGGAACTTTATACACTTTTCAAAAAGCAAAAATCAGAATGCATGAAAATATTGTAGTATATTTCAATATTTTGTGTGGAATGTAATAAGCAGATTAGTAACAAAGCATTAAGCTAAAATAAATTAACAACTGTAGGTAAAATAAATAAATAACACACCCCCCCAACCTTACAGACTTGAACTCTGTCATACCTAGAATTGCCAAAAAATCTTTTACCATATTTTTGCTTCAGCCAGCTTCAGGTGTACACCAACTGAAAATGCAAAAACACTAGCCACTTGCTGCTGTTGACAACAATGTGCCTCAACACTGGATCACAGAAAGAATTTCCTAATCCATTAGTTCATCTTCCAATTTTGGGTAACAAGCTGGACACCAGCTGAGACCATAAAGAATTTTTTTTCTCAAGTTTGCTGGGGAAAACCTTTGTTTTTGAAACAGCTGGGCTTTTAGGAAGCAGGCCAATAGTTACTGTTGGCAAGCCCTTTTCATGGAGATTCCTAGAGTGAGCTAGGTCAAATTTGACATTTCCATAGAAAGTCCAGATAAAAGTGTTTGCCAAATCATTGAGATGGGAAAAAAATCCTTGAGATAGTACTGTCTAGTAACTTTAGGGCACGGAATAATGTCTGTGTGCATTATATTTTTTAGTGGTTGCTCCTCTTTGATTATTTTCTTGATCTGAAAATGAGGCAAATAGCATTACAGGCTCATGACATACCTCCTTTCTGTTTTCCTAATCTCGACCTGCTTCTCATTAATGCCTTGGGTTATTGGTGGGCTTTTTTAATATGCTAAATTCACCGTAGATCTCACTCTTGAGCTGAGATGGATATAAGTTGACTGAATCACAATTAATGAGCTGTAAAATTAACAAGCTACGAATTGGTTCTTGAATATTGGGATCCTATAAAAAAACAGTTTATCTGAGGACTTTAAAATATATATATATGTAATAAATATAAGGAAAAACATATACCTGTATATATATGTTGTCATGGCTTGACCTAGACAATACATGATTTCTAGTTTTGATAAAACTTATCTAAAATAACATCAAAACATGAATGGTTGGTACTGAGAAACAGAAGTATTGGAACTGATAATTCACCTTGGGATAGTTTCCTTTGTCATTCTGTGATCCTTTTCTATTGCTTTTGGAACACTCCAGTGACTTGCTAGGTGTATTTTTCACATAAATACAGCAGTCTGTGCAGGGGACTAATGGAAAAATCAACAAGAGTGGCAGTGATGGGATGGGACTCTTTTCTCCATGGAGACACTAGGACCTAACTGCTCTAGGAAGTTATATCCGTAGGTGGTACTTTGCACAAAGAATACATGGAAAACAAACAGTTCACCAAAAAATGCTTCTATAATTGGTATAAACATATTGCATGTGTTCACCAACATGTCTGTGTTTACATAAAAATTAAATCAATTAAGGACCAGAATGTGAATATGTAAAGGTCAAATTCAGAAAATGTCAATTTCCAGAAACTGAAAGGAAGAAGACATTTCTCAAGAAGCTTAACAAGGTTAGGTTTGCTTAACAGAGAAATTTGTTTTAAGATGAGTTTATTGTTTTGCCTCTTGGTAGGATTTCAGTGAGTCTGTAACTGTATGACAGTCACCTTTCTGACTTCCACTTAATGAAAAATTTCCTTTCTTCAAGGTACTGGAGAATGATACACTTTTGGAAATGTTTTCACACTTTAAATACAGTACTGACTTTTCTTCTCTACAAAAGGGAGTGATTTATTTCTAGTATTACATTTCATGGCCTCTGGTACAAATATGGCCAATAACAAGCTCTTGCATCAGCACTATGTGCAAGACTACCACTAGATATGAGTGAAAAATAAGTAAAAACTGACTGTATTAGGTCAGCCAGAGATATTAACGACTTCAGGACAACAGGTCTCAAGATGGCAATACTTGTTCTTTATTTAAACAATGAGAATAGGAAAAAACTCCAGCAAACACAACACCAAACCATAAAAGACAATAATGCTGCAATTCAAAGTTTTTGTTTGTCTGTTTATAGGGAAAGGCAGCTGTGATAATACTTGAAAATGTGGAAAACAACCATCTGCATAATTCTGGATGCAGATTTAGACATTTGTGGTACTCTGGGATTTCCAGTATTAATTTTGCTTTGTTATTAAGGTTGGCATAATCCTTAGCATCTGAGCTGTGTGACAACAGAACGTCCTTCATCACTTGGTATGTGTCCCTATTGTTTAGAAAATCTGAGATTTGTTTGCCACTCATCATGAGTGTTGGTGTATCATAGAGATGACCCTGCTGTTCCTTCTATATGGTTTATCTCTGTTGATCAGCAGCACAGTGTTTTTGCAGATTTTATCAAATAGAGTTAGAAAAATGTTGCCTTGTGCCTGAAAATCTTTCCAAGCTCTGACATACCAAAAATGCATTGATGATCTCTTAAGATCCTTTTTCTTCATTGTGTACAAAGTCTTTTTTTATTGAGAACATCATGGCCTGCCAGATGTTATAAATTGTGAGGTATGTTCCTTTGTGTTATTACATTTTTGTTTCTGTTTGCAAGAGCTGATTAGCCCCAAATACTGAAAGAACAGCACATGCTGTTTTTCAGTGCTTCAGAGTTGGCAGTTAAGTGCTTTCAATCCTTCCAGAGGTGAGCTCGACAGTGAGACCACTGATATACTGAGCCCTTGACCTTTACATTGAGAATACTGGTGGTACTGCCATTTAGTCTGCAACACAGGGATTTGGTGCTGGTGATGTGGATGTTTGCTCTCAGAATGAGTTAGGGCTCTGGTGTGCATGGTGGCAGGTTCTAGAAGGTGATTTCTTTCAGCGTTTTCCAAAGCACTACTGTAAAAAATGACACAGGTATTTAGGACCCAAAATCTGAATGATACATCAATAGATCCGAACATCTAGCTCGCTTATGAGGTACTAAAATTTTATACCAAGCTGCTGTGAAGCTCTCTGATCCTGAAGGTACACATCACTCGCATTATATTGCATCCTGAAGTCATTTATATGCTCCAGTGATGCAAAACTCAATAAGAAATGCATTTTATTCCGACTGCAATGATATAGCACAGGTCTTACTGGTGACCATGTTATCTTTTAATGAAAAGGTAGAGAATAACTAAGCAGAGCAGAACTCTGAAGTTCTGCTTCATCACTGGGGTTAAAAATATAAACATCAAAAAGCAGGGAATATATATATAAGAAACATATAATTGTATCTCTCGTGTATATATGTGTACATATATATAAAGGATTTTTTTTTTCCTGAGTTCAATAGGGTGCCACAGATACTGTGATGAAGTTTCAGAAGAGTAATTTCAATTATTTTCTTGCAGACTGGCATTCAGTTGTCATTCTGCTTTTAGCTATTTTATTTCATGTTATTGAAAAACTTGTTTTATATTAGTGTCTGTTTGAATGTCATCTTTGTTCCTTTTCAAAAGTGTATGTTTTACTTTGTACATATTCCCTCAGATGTAAGGCATCTTAAGTATTGCTAAAAATCAAGTTGTGCATTGTCAACAACAAAATATTCCTGAGAGTTTACCCGATTTTGGAGCAATAGTAGTTTGATTGACCTTGTTCATAAATTATTTTCTACATAATCAAAGATTTTAGTTTCAATAAGTGCCTTTAAAAAACAAGTAGAGGAATTTAATCAGAGTACTTCATAGTAATAGTGTTTTGACTGTATAAAAGGCAAAAGATTTGCTCAAAAAGTTACATTTATAGTAATAGTAAATGTCCAGATGTGATACTGTTCACAGATCACAGAGACTTTAATCTTGCAACCAAATCTACTGCCAAAAAAATATTTTTTTTTCCAAGAAGTTTTAGAAAAGTTTGAAATTCTTGGGAATCAGCTGACCTGAGAATTGAATGTGTGTAAACCGATAAAAAATATATAATATTAATGAAACACAAATTTCACAATAGATTTTGCATTTGTTACTTTGACAAAGCAGCTGCTATTTCAACCTCCATTGCCCACTCTGAAGCATGGCAAAACTTTTCTTAATGCAGCATGTACTGTTCTCTTCTTTCTTCAACATTTGTGACTAATCAGCTCTTACAAACAGAAACAAAAATCTAGTAATATAAAGGAAATATGCGCGACTGTTTTGTTATGACAGTTTCTGTCTTCTTGCTCCACAAAGACACTGCCTGTATTTATGGATTTTGTGCTCACACAGAACTGTATGTTCCTGAAACAGGTCTGCTGTGGATGCCAAAAAAGAAATTGAAAACTTTGTTTCTGACATGGAGATGCTGGGCAGCAAGGAGGTGATAAAAATGGATACCTGGCTTTCATGAAGTTATTACCATCCTTTAGTTCCTACTAAGGAAACTTTAGAATGGAAAGCATTATTTTAGTTTGTAGTATCTGTTTTGAATGGTGACAGGCTTTTGAGAAGAACAGAAGTATAAGTAGACCAAAGAACAGAAAAAACCTTTAATACATGGAATGCATAAAGCTCTCTTTCCCTCAGGTTTTTTGCACATATGGTCTTGGGGCAGCACCCAGGAACCTACAGGTGCAGGAGGCCTTCCCTTAGTCCTCATTCTTGTAAGCAGCTCTCAAACTCACAGGTCCTTGAACCCTGTAAGTACGTTGCTTTTTTCTTCTTGCCAGATGATTTATAACAGTTTTGCCAGCCAGCCGGAAAGCCTGTTGAAATCCTTTAAAACCACTTTTTCTTACCTGGTAAGATACAGTCAGCTGAAGGAGAAAAAAAGCACGTTATAGCAAGTCTCAGAACTATTACTGATTGTCGTCGTTTTGCCCTATAGAAGAAGGTGAAGTAGCTCTGTGATGTTGCTATAGTAGCTGCAGTTCTTGAGTGTCATCCTGAGAGATACAAGGACCATGAAGGCTACTCCAAAGGCAGACAGTGATTAATGCTATTTGTAGACTCACAGATCTGAAAGAAACCTCAGGAGGTCATCTAATCCATATTTTTGCCCAAAGGCAAGGTAAACTCCACTTAAAACATTCCTTACAGACATTTGTCTAACCCAGTCTCTCCACCGGAGATGGAGACTGAGCAACATCCCTGAACGATATACTCTAGCACTTAAATAATTTGTCTCTCTCTTCTTTAACTACACAGTGCTTTTTGTCATCTGTCATAGTTCCTTAGCTTTTATGATGTGCTTATTTGTAAGGCTTGAACTGAAGGTAAAATAGGGTGATTCAAACATCCTAGATTAGTTTAAAATACGAAAGTGAGAACCAAAAAAAAAAAGATATCTTTCTTTTGCTTAAAGTTAACCAAGTGAGCTCTGCTTGACTGGGGAATGGGTTAAACAGAACCACTTGGCTTCCAACTACATTTCACGTAAAGAAATACGAGCAAATTCTGCTTCTGAAGCACATCATGCTGAATAATTTAGGGGCTCTGGGATTTTTTTATTTATTGTACATAAAGGTATTGCAGGGGATAACACATCATTAGTTTGCATAGAGGCTTTCTGTAATTTGGAATAGAATATATACTAGCAGAAAATAATGTATGCTGATGAAAATTATCTGCCTGAGCATTAGTAGTTTTGTCAAAATAACAGATCAAATATCTAACGTGAAATTTGTGTTTCAATAAAATTAATGGAGCCCATCACTAGGACTTGAGAAAGTAGTTTATGGTGCTCTGACAATGTAGCGACTATAAATTACCTGGATCAATTTCCCAGAGAACATCTAGACAGGGAAAAGAAGTCTGCATTGCAGTGTCTGGTAGCCTAGAGAGTGCTGAGCATGTTAGAGCCAAGGGGCATGGCAGCACTTCTGCTCTAGTTATGCGGGATGCAACTGTTGTATGAAAGGACACATATAGCTTTTGGGTACCTGAACACTGTGTCAGCTCACCTGCAGGTGAGTCAAGGCCATGCAGGAATTGGTGACAGTTTGTATCACCCTTGCCACGTCCCACTGAAGTGGTGTGTCCAGCACAGCCTGCCATAACATTAAGTGACTTCAGTGCATATTGGTTCTGGTTTCACCTTTTTAAATGAATATTTAGTTAAAAATATTTATATCTGTTGATAAGCAAATCAATTTTGTATGTTTCTCTGTGCTTGTTTCTTATGAGAGTGTTGTGCTAAGGTTTTTAGTAGTGGCTGGGAAGATGAGTCAAGGTTTTCTGTGAGGGAACATCAAAACACATGTAATTCATCCAGCTAGCCAATGTGAAATTAAGTGAAAATGCCTACAGTACACTAGGCAAGAACATCTCATTTATTTAATTCACTGGGAATAATTCATTAACCAACACTTCTGATTTGTGTCAGTCAAAATTAAGCTTCCATCTTGAGTTGGTTCTCACTTTATGGCCCTTCTGTTTAATTTGTGAATGTATGCTGAATTTGACCTTAAAACAGCTTCATGCACACTGTTCTATTTGATGCAACTGAGCACCACTAGTATTCTAATGATACCATTACTTGTAAAATAATGTTGGTCCTGTAAGTTATTGCAAGTGCTGAGAATATTAAACTCAGTGCCACTGAAATATCTGAGTTCTGGTGCCAATTTTAAATCTCTGATGCCTTTAATGGTGAGTATTAGAAACTAAAACTGGATGCATCTATATACGTACCTATTTTTCTGACTGTCCTTTCTTTGCCCATTCAATAAACTAACTGGAAGCAATGCAGTTGCACAG